TGTTGGTGGTGTAGTTGAACGACCACGGCGATTCAAATTCATAAATTCAGTTGATGTTCGACAGACACCCATTGTGCCAGAGCCATCAAGGTTTAGTCGTTTGAGATTGGCGCCAACAAAGCCTTTGCCGCCAACAAAGGAAGCTGATCGCCCGCCACAAAACCATTCATCGGCCGCAAAACGTATAACGCGTTCAATGACAATTGACACACGACCATCGAATCAATCGGTTCAATCGGCTCGCCCGCCACAAAACCATTCATCGGCCGCAAAACGTATAAAGCGTTCAATGACGATTGACACACGACCATCGAATCAATCGGTTCAATCGGCTCGCCAGCCACAAAACCATTCAGTCGCTCGCCGTCCGCCGCCAGTTCTACCATCAACATCAACATCAACATCGGCCGCTCAAAAAGGCACCAAAACTTATCTTTTTCATCCCAGAATTTGTCGACGACGTGGCGAACAGGCGAAAGAAAATATTGAAACGTTTACAATTAAGATGCGCCTGAATCAGTTTCTACGCAGCAATGCAAACGATGAAGGCCGTGTAGGTGGCAGCGACAACAGAAGGAAAATAAATGATGCACGAATCGCGGCAACAATTGCGCGGCGAAATGACGCTGCACGAAACCAAGGAAACAATCAAGGGAACAATGTCGATCAGAAAAGTAGGCTGATCAAAATTATAAACGACAAAGTTACTCAAATGTCAGACATGATTCGATTGGCATCATTACATTTGCACAACTCGCTGAATCGTTTGGTTGCTGATGGAACAAATGAGGAAATTCGGGCGGAATTTGGGAATGAATTCAATCCGAGGAAACATTTCTATGCCCAAAAGCAATGTCAAAGAAACCTTGATTATCCGATGAATCGTGACTTTGAGAATATGTTGAGAGAACGTCATATTCCGGTCAAACCGAAAATAAAGAATACTGGTCAGTGTATTAAATATGCGTATTTGATTTGTGCAACGAATATGTACGTAAACGTGAAGATGCATTGTTGTCGGCACATTAAAGACAAATTTTTCAAACGACTGTCAAACGATGAAGCAGCAATTGATGCCACCATGAACTATTTGAAATGTGCAGACTCAGTCGATCGTCCAGACGCATATTTGTTGGATCAGTACTTCGAACATTTACGTCCACTTTTGGACGAAGAACGTATTGACGATTACAATTACAATTACGGAGGTGAAGAACACATAATACCACGAGGGTGGTTGGAAACAACGGAGGACGAAAAAAAATACTACAAACATGTATTCGAATTGATGAATTTATTGCGATACATATGTGAACATAACGCACAAAATCCGGATAAACAATGGAAATTGTTTCGGCCCATTCCGCAGTCGCATAACAAACGGCATCACATTGCAATAGACACAGAAGCATTTATCCTGTTTACAAATCTTCTCTTTGCAATTAATGAAGGAAAGACCAATTTGAGAGCCAAAGACAATTGGAATGAACAAGAATATTGCCGGTTTTGGAATCGATTTGTGAATTTACGTAAAGTAAATCGACGAAGTCAAGAGTTCGATTATCGCTTTACGACGGACGGAGAAACCGCCTGCCTGAAAATGATTCGGAAAACGCGTGGACTCGGCAATTCGAATGCACAAGAGACGGTAACAAATAGCATAAATCATGCGAATGAGTCGGCCATTGTTCCGGACGACATTCAAGCTGCATTCGATGCTGGCCAAATCAAAAAGATAATTGGCAACGATCCCGGCGCAAAAGTTTTAATAGCGGCTAATACTCTCGACTTGGACCGAAAAACCGAAGTAAGTTATCGATTGAAGGCCAAACAATGGCACCACCGTGTTGGAACTCACAAAAGAAAGAAAAAGTTAAAGGAATACACTGGTGCATACGAAAACGAATGTCGTCTCTTACGTGAAAATCGTAATATTTATATCGAAACACCATCGCCGAGTAGTCTGAATTACGATTTGTATCTAAGATACCAACTGGATATTTTCCAAGCGGCAAGCGAAGTGAAGTACCGGCCATGTGTGGCAAAACTAAAATTTGATAAATACGTGCAAACACAAAAAACGGCCCATCAAATTGCACGTGAAGTCACACAAATGGAAAAGGAAATACCGCGTGAGCAACAAACCATCGTATACGCTCATGGAAATGCGAAAATTGCGGCCAATTCACCAATTAAAGGCCATTTGCGTACACCCGAAGCAGCGATTACGCACACAATCGATCGGTATGAATGTATATGTTTTTGTATTTGTGTTTTCCCGGTATTTGTTTACTAATTTCTGCATTATTTCCATTCACACATTCAATGTGTATGCCCACAGGTATGCAATGAGAATTGATATCAATGAGAGAGGTACATCTATGTATTGCAGTAGGTGTCAACAGATGACACAAAGACCAATTGATGTAAGAGTACGAAAAGGATTTACGAGACATAACATTAAGGATCGGTAAGTTAATGATTTAATACATAGTACTGAGTCAAAAACGACCACAAAAACAAAAACAAAACCGAAAACATGAAATTCATTGTAAATTTTCTTTTGTCGTTTGTTTCCAATGTACAAATAAAAAGCTTCCTAGTTTGCCAAAACTGTGAATCGGGCCGGAATGCTGTTCTCCCAGTTCCACGCGAGTACACTGTGAAAACACATCGTAGTTATAGAAAGAAGATTCCAGTAGTTGGCGCAAGACCAAAAACACGAACATTTGAAACGCCAGCCGACAATCCGAATCGAATTCGAAGCGTGGTTATGGATCGTGACCATAACGCTTCACGCAATATGATCTATAAAGCCAAGTGTATGTTGAGTGGAATTCCAATAAATCCTGTTTTCAATATGAGTGCTGTAGCCTATAGACAACAAAATCCCGATCGTGTGATCCGTCCAAATCGACCGAATCATGCGAATCGTCGTAATCAAGCAGCATAAAGTTAAAGAAATGTATCTGCGGTCGTTCCCGGGGGGGTATGTTTCAATTCGAATCAATTTCATTTCATCTACTGCAATTTATGTTCATTGTTTGTTTCTCTGTTATTGTATGTATCTAGGTAGTGACCAGCAGACCCAGAAGTACTATTCTATAGTAAGCTAGTATTTTTTTTATTCTCTTCCACAGAATCGACGATTACAACTACCAAATCTCAATTTAAAGCAATTGCTGGACATTATTGTTGTTGTGGCTATTGCTTTGCAATTTTTTCATTATATGTTTCCGATTATTTTTCGATTATTCTCCGATTACTTATCGATTATTTTAAATTTTATTCTTTTCTTTTGTGTTTCTCCCCTTAGGTATGTTTGTCCAAAAGAAGCGATGGAAAAAGCAACGAAAGAATTCACGAAGCTGAAGAGTCTTCGCATTGTATCCGGTTATTTGAGCGAGAAAATGACGTCCTTTGTATATTTCTTCCCGAATTTGGAACGTCTCGAATTGGTTGGCGTTGAAGTAGCCAATCGCAAATGCATCGAACGAACATTCAAACGTGTCACCCATATGAAGTTGAACATTGAAACACGCAAAGGAATGGATTTCCTGAAATCAAACGTTAAAGCAGCTCTAGAACTAAATCCACAGTTGACCAGTTTTAGTGTGGGTGCTGGTTGCGATGTTAAACTATTGAGTTACATCAACGAAAAATTGCCAACACTTGAAGCACTCGAAATACAAAATCCACGGAAAAAATTCTTTGACAGTCTTGAAAATCGCGTCTATTTCGATTGGGTGAAAAATTTGTCGCTGGATATAACCGACACCAAGGATTTGTTCACAAACATCCCGTTCAGATTCCAACGTTTGAAGAGACTCAATTTGAACGTAAGCTGTCGACATCAAGACGAATGGGTCGATTTTGTAACACTAAATCCAAAACTGGTGCAATTGAACCTGTTGCATTTTACTTGGTTTTACGTGATGAAGGAGGAACAACTGCTGAGAATTGCCAAAGCATTGCCAAAGCTGCACACATTTCTTTTGGATTGGCGCGTTCCATCGTTGGAAGTAGTTGCCAAGTTTGTTAAGGGGTGTCTGCGTCTCGCGAAAATGCGATTGTCAATACGCACACGACCTGAAAGAGCCGCAATTGATGCACAATTTGGTGATGGATGGCAGACTGATATTAACGAACAATTTATGACACTGCAACGAAACGAAGATTAAAACAACTGGCAATATTAAGGACATTTAAGACATTTTCGTATTTTTTGTTGTCTTTTTTTAATTTTTTTTATTATTATTTCTTTTTATTAAGATAGGAAAACTCTATCAGAAAATATTTTTCTGTTTACAATTGAAGGAAGTGATTCTATATTAGAATAGAATTTCTATTTCGTTCTTAATTATGATAAATGTTCAAGTTTTGTATTCTTTGACAATTTTTGGCGAAAATACTAAAAAAATTAGTAATAAGGAAAAACAAACCAAAACTCAATGTGAATTTATATAAAATTTTCGTATTATCAAAGTAAATAAACCACAAATTCAAATGGCCAATATAAATTTGAACCTTTTTGTCCACATTTTTTCAAAAATTATTGCGTTTTTGAACTTTCTTTCAGACATCGGAGCTTGTATTCGTAAGTAAATTGGTTATACCTTGTAGGATTGGCATTATATCTTCTAAGATCCGGAATGTATTTGATTGACCGACAGATGACGGTTCTTTTAAATTGACGACTAACATGAACAACTTTGCGTGCAATAGGCCGTTTACTTTAATTTACTGAAATTTAATTTTTTTGCCTCAAATATTCAATTAAATTTATATAAATAAAATAACGATCTTAATCGACCCAATATATTTGAGAATAATTCGAAGCTTCAATCAATATTTGTTTTAAATAAAATGTTAGTTTTGGAGTCGACATTTTATATTAATTTTTTTTATTTCGTTTATGTTGTATTCAAAGTTGAATTTAATCTATTTTCTGACTTTTTTTGAAGTTCGCGCAAAACATATTCGCTCCGATTCGCTCTTAGTATGACAGTTTATCAAAAGTCTTCTCGCTTTATATAAAAATGGCGTTCTGATTCTATTTTCTCTCGTACCTCACTTCATTCAGCCGAGGGTACAATTTCTTTTGGTAGTGCAACAGCAGCAGCAGCACACTTCATCTTGTGCGGGTCAAACTTTTTTCTTATTATTATTCAATCTACATTAAAATAAAGTAATCCCAATAAAATCAATCAGTTTTATTGAAAAACAATACATCCACAGTCCCAATTATATAAAGAAAATAAGTTTTGTTGAAGACACTGCAAGGGGAACTTTTTTGCTGTCATTTACGTAGTACACATATACACGAAGGTGAGTAGAGATTATTTCTTCTGATGAAATCAAATGAAAGATGTTTCTGATTATTAAGAATTGAAATGGGGACATTTGTGTAGAAATGGGTTTCAAAAAATTTGATCTTTGGAATCGCGAGATAAGAGTGAGTTCCATATGATTGCCCGAGAATAAAAGCGAGACTTCTATTCACAACTTATTGAAATGTAACACCACCATACAAAATATGCTGACAGTCAGCACTTTTTTTATGGCGGTGGTACATTTCAATAAGTTGTGAATAGAAGTCTCGCTTTCATTCTCGGACATTCATATGTATTGCCATTGTTTTAGATTCTAATGTTTAGAAAACGGAAAATGTTCAAAGGAATACACATAATAAAACACTCAACTGCATTTATGAATTTTTTTTAAATTAGAATGGATCGACCATTTGAAATCTATAATGGAGAAAAAATGAAAATAAAATTCCATAAATCTCTTATTTTTTATGTCTTTTCAGGAAGACAATGAATCCATTTCAATGCAAGGGTATTAGTGGCGGCCAGGTTGGCCACAAGTGCAAATGCGAACCAAAGTGTTCACAAATCACAGTGAAGGAAGAAGCCACCGTCAAAGAAGAGCCGAATTATATGATTCAGTACTCGCCACCACCATCGCCAATTGGAACGGGTGCCACCATTAAATCGGAGAGCGAGA